TCTTAAAGAATAGGACGCTAAGTTAAGGAGCGTAGGTAAGTTCGAGATACGATTAGATTATAAGAATCTAGAGTACTTTATAATCGTACGAAAGCTTACGGAGAGGTAAATACGGTAGTCTCTTATCTTCTTACGATATAACTTTACGATCTCCTACCTTAAAGGAAAGGATAACGTATAAGCCGACGCGCTATCGCGAAGAGAATAAGATATACCGAAAGAAGAGGAGGACGACCGGCTATAGTATCGTTCGATAAGACTACTAAAGCTAGAGTTCTTCGACGCGAAAGGAGCGATTTAAGTAGCTTTCGTACGAGTAGAGGAACCCCCTACCGGAGACTAACTAGCGAGTAACGTAGTTAATACTAACTAGTTTACGATAGTAGAGTCGGACGAAACGTACGAGTAGATTAAGGATTCGATTACTCGAGGAGTACTGAAGTTTCTATCTTCTCTAGCGGTAAAAGTATCTATCGCTAAGTATATAATCGATAGCTAAGGGAACGTATACTTCCGGGGAAGACTATAGGTTTCGAACTTAGAACCTTTACGTACGTTCCTAATTTAAGAAACCTACGACTTAGTAATTAGCGAATACCTCGGGCGGAAGGTAACGAGCTCTCTAATAGTAAGATAATTCTTCTAGTCGAATATACTATAGGATATCCGACGATTCGTACGAAACTACGATACCTACGAACGAATAAAAGCCTAGAGGAAAAGGAAATAAGGATTTCTAAAACCTCTTCCTATATCGAACCGAATATAGAGCGAGATATCTATCGACTTTATTACGGAGCTCCTAGAGAGTCTAGGCTATACGAATTTAGCGGTAATTACGGACCGACTAGGAAAAGAAGTTATCCTTAAACCGATACGTACGATTAAGTCGTAAGATATAGTATCCCTATTCCTACGTATATTCTATAGGACCTACGGTTTACCGAGAGCTATCGTATCGAATAGAGGAACCTAGTTCGTAAGCGCTCTATAGAAACGAGTATATTAGCTACTAGGTATCGTACGCCGATTATCTACTATATATTATCCTAAAACGGACGGATCTACGGAACGAATAAATTAGACGGTCGAGACGTACGTACGTACGTTCGTAAACGAAGCCTAAGATAATTAGGTAGAGTTACTACTAATCGCTAAGTTAGTA